GATGAAGCTGCACGTCCCTGCACGTCTCTGATGTGTCCCCTTCCCAACAAGCCTTCAGTGACGGGCACAGCCAGAGGCTTTCCAGCGTTATTTAGACGATAGCAGGGGCCTCCCACACCCCACGGGGCCCGAGGATGAGGGTTGGTGGCCACAATCCAGGAACAAAGTCCACCCCCTGGCTGGTCACCTCCAGGGACGTTCTCCCACTGCCCCTGCCGCTGAGCTCAGACGTCCGTCCTGGCTCCCGAGGCCGATGGGAGGCTGGGCCGCAGGACCCTGGCCCGCCTGCCCTCTGGGGAGTCCTCAGGAAGAAGTGGGTTTTCCCATATGCTCGCCTCAGCCAATCATTGCTCTCTTCCAAATCAAGGTTTCCTACGAGTGCGTCTGATTGGTGGAGCCTGAGTCACATGCCTGCCCTGAGGCGCAAGGGAAGCTGGGAAAGCGAGTTATGACTTCTGTGTCAGGGAGGCAGGTCTCATAGGGAGGGAAATTATTTGGGACGGGAATTCCGAAGTCTAGGCAGGACAACAGGACGATAGCCACTGCCGCCTTCTCCTATACCACAGACTGTTTTCTTCTCTGCGTGTCCGACACAGAGCAGAGGCTCAAGACACGAGTGCCTCTTCCCCGGCCATGCTTCCTGCTGGGGCTCATGTGAGGCTTTCTGCTCGGGCTGCTGTGCTTGGAATTTCCTTCCAGGGACCATGTCAGCGTCACCAGCGCTGAGAAAGGGAGGACGACCAAATTAACATGCAGACGTTTGCCTTGCTCAGCTGCAGCAGCTGGTTTCTAACACGGATACATGCAGGTATGCAAGTGGATTTCAAAGATGCTAGTCTCTAAAGCAAAGCTGGGTGCTGACAGTCACTGTTATGTCAGGATCTTACAGTCCCTCACCCAACGGATGCCGAAAGAGTGTATCTGTTTTGCCTGATTTCCACCTCATGTGCCTACTTATGCTTTTTTCAAGAAACACATTGAATAATTTAGAAGCAATAAGGGAAATTTTTGTATATAAAAATTAAAAACATTTGCATGACAACAACATAAGAATTAAAGTGATAAATGTATGTTACCCTTGGAAAATATTTGGAATTTAAAACACAGTGGCAGTGGGAGAACACCCCTGGAGGTGACCAGCCGGGGGGGGGCGGGGTGGACATTGTTCCTGGATATTGTGGCCACCAACCTTCATCCTCAGACCCTGTGGGGTGTGGGAGGTCCCTGATATTGTTTAATGCTGAAAAGCCTCTGGCTGTGCTCATCATTGAAGGCTTGTCGGGAAGGAGACACTTCGGAAATGTGCAGCGGACGTGCAGCTTCATCACAGCTACTTACACAGCTATTTACAAGGAGTTGTTCTTAATATATAAGTTTCTTTAGAGTGTCCCACAGTCATAGGAGAAAGAAAAACCCTAGGGAAAGAAAAATGAGCCAATAAACAACTAAGCAAGTCACAGAAAAAGAAAAATCTAAATTGTATGAAAGATACATCGCCTTGCTGATACGAGAAAGCTAAATTATCTTTAAAACAACTTTAGCTTAAAGCTTATAACCAGATGCAGTAACAAGGACCAGATTTACCCTCTCACTTGGATAATAATAATAAAAAAAATAGACAAAAGGTCCACAACAGTCGCTTTCAAGACATGGAGCATCATGAAGGCCAGGGACCCTGAGAGGTGGACACAAATGAGGTGAGGCCCACAGCTGTGCACTTCCTGCCCAGGAGGCCTCCTAGGCCCTGCTGCCAGATTGGAGAGGGTGCAGGCTGGGCTGAGGGACACCCCCACCCCCATGCATGAATTTCATGCACTGGGCCTCTAGTGGGTTATAATGGTCATAGACTAGACACTGCCCTGGTCCCAGCTCACGACCTGACAAACCAGACTCCAACAGATCAACATGTTTCCAAGTGCATCCCTGCACCCCAGGGCACAGCTCAAGGCTATTTATAAGAAATACAAATATATCGGCTCCTAATATGCTCATTGGCATTCAATTAAGAAATCCCAGGCATGTACAGAAGCAGAAAATATGACGCAGAAGGAGGGGTAATCGACTGAACCGAACCCAGGGCTGACACTATGGAAATCTGTGGGCTGTCGCGAACACATTTCCTTGAGGGACATTTATAGTACGAAGTGCCTGTGTCAGAAAAGAAGACGGATCTCAAGTCTATGACCTCAGATTCCCCCTTAAGAAACTTGGAAGCAAAGAGGAAATTAAACCTGCAGTGCATTGAAGAAAGAACATAAGGAAGATAGAAGCAGAATCAATAAGAGGAAAACCAGGGGAGAAAGCCAATGAAACTGAAAGCTGGTTCTTTGAAAAGATAAATAAAATGGATAAGCCTCCAGCTAGGTTAATCAGTAAAAACCATAATCGACAAACACAGATTATGGAGACCAGGACGAGAGCAACGGTATCGCTACGGATTCCACCGAAATGAAAAGGGGGACAAGGAAACGCTGTGCACAGCTTTATGCCAATAAAGAACAGCTTAGACGACATGGAAACATTCCCTAAAAGACAGGAACTACTAAAGGGCATTCAAAAAGAAAAGGTAACCTGACACATTCTATATCCTTAAAGAAATGGAATTTTTAGTTGAAAGCCTTCCATTAATGAGACCTCCAGGCACCAAAATCCGCTGGTGAATTTGACCAATATTTAAGGAAAAAATAATTCTGATTCTCCTCATACTCTTCCAGAAAAGTGAAGTCCTAATAAATATTCCAACTCATTTTATGAGGCCAATACCTTGATTCCAAAACCCAAGACATTTACAAGAAGAGACTACAGACCAATATTCCTCATGAACTTAGACGCAAAAGTTAACAAAGTTCTAGCAAATAGAAATCAATAATGTATTTTAACACTTGGAGTGCGGGTGAATTTCCCGCCAAAATATAAGATGGCTCTGTCTTTTGGTTTTGTTCCATCCACCAAAAGGGTGGATTACAAGCAAATATTTGGTAATACGCAGTTACAATCGGCCCAAGTTTACACGTTTCCCGCACTCCACCGCAAATCTATATGAACCGAGTTTTAAGACCTCATGAACTTAGACGCAAAAGTTAACAAAGTTCTAGCAAATAGAAATCAATAATGTATTTTAAACGGATAGTACTATATCAAGACCAAGCTGGGTTTATCACAAGAACAGAACATTGATTCAATATTTTACAAAATCAACCAATGTAATTCATCCTATAAAAGAATAAGAAAACCACATGATCATCTCAATAGACGAAAACCAGGCAGACTGGAAAACCTTGTAGGTCAAGGTTTTCACTTGACCAAATCCAACATTAATTCCTGACTAAACCCATCAGCAAAGTAGGACTAGAAAGGACACTCCTCCATGTGATAAAGGGCATCCATGCAGAACCTATACCCACATCAGACTTAATGGTGAAAGACGCAGCCGGGAAGAAATCAATTACATCTGCGCTAACAACGTCTATTACACATGGGACTGGACACTAGCCAGTGCAATAAGGCAAGCTAAAAAAAAGTGTCCAGGTTGGAAAAGATAAAAACTGTCTTTACTCAAAGACTCCAGGATTGTCTAACTGGAAAAACTGAGGAAATGTATAAAAAAGCCACTAAAATCAATGAGTGACTTCAGCAAGCCTGCAGAATACAAGTAAACAAACAAAAACTATTGTATTTCTACATGCTCTCCATGGAAAAAACCAACAATCCACTTTTAAAAGCAATATGACACACAATAGTATTAAAATAGTTGAGACTTAGGATTGCGCTTCTATGTGGGAGAGAAAACTGAAACTCGTGGACACAAACAGCAGTGTGGCGGCTGTGAGAGGGAAGGGCTGGGTGGGGGTGAAGGGGGCCTCACAGACCTCGGCGGATGATTTGACTTTGGGTGGTGGACACGCAGGACGATACACAGATGACGTATCATAGAACTGTACACTCGCAACCAACATGATCCTATGAACCAACGTCACCCCATACATTTGATAAAAAATACTTGATACTAATGGGTAGACCTGCCAAAAGGCCACTGAAAACTATAAGCATCACAATTTGCACCTGAGCAGTAACCATGGCCATTGATGCACACACAGCATGTCCACAAAGACAGGTCACCTGTTGCCTGGAAACACACCCCCGGCCCAGGTCCCTGTCCACCGCGCTGCATGTACACTGATGGGAACTGCACAGAAGGCCTGGCCTTCACGCCGCCAGAGGAAATGGGCGTCTTGGGGAGATAAGGGTTTGAAGTTGGGAGACCCGGGTTCAAAACCAGGCCTCCTCCCTCACAGGGGGTGTGACTGCAGGGGAGACTTGCCCTCCCAGTCAGCCGCCCTGGCTGTGCTGGGGCAGGGCCGCCTCCTTGCTGGGGGCAGAGAGGGGTGCGAAGTGGTTGTGGCAGCTCGCAGGGAACAGGTGCTTCCTCAGAGCCCTCGCCTTCGCTTCGCTGGGGACGGATTCCTTCCCCATCACTTCCTACCCGCAGGAAGGGCCCATGGTGATCGCCTTTGCCTGGCTCTCGGGGATGCTCACCCCCCGCCCCCGCCCCATCTGGTCCAGCCCCTGTGAGGCCTCAGGGGCCCCAGGCGCTGCTGTGAGGACTGGATTCCCTCATTTGTAAAGAGGAGAAAGGGCTCACCCGCGTGGCTCAGTGGTTGAGCATCGACCTATGAACCAGGAGGTCATGGTCGACTCCCGGTCAGGGCACGTGCCCGGGTTTCCAGCTCCGTCCCCAGTGTGGGGTGTGCAGGAGGCAGCCAGTCAATGATTCTCTCTCATCATTGAGGTTTTTTTCTCTCTCCCTTCCTCTTTGAAATCAATAAAAATATATTTTGAATAAAGATGGAAAAGTAACTCTGATTTGAATTGGAGACGTTTCCTGGCCACTGGAACAAGAGAGGGCAAATCGCTGTGGGACAGATCACGTGGCCGAACGCAGACGCAGTGAAAAGTGGGCGTTCCCACCTACAGTGAAAAGGAGTTCCGCTGAGAAGAGCTTGTGTAAAATACATTTATTCTTGAAAATTCCCCCGACAAACACAGAATATGTAAGAAGAGAGAGCCTTGCCTTCCACACCCAGCCCTTTCCGCAGCCGGACACTGGGGGACGTGCAGGGGGGCTGGTCACCGCAGGCCCTCGGGGTCCGGGGACCAAGTGCTCACGGCTGGTCCCCTCTCACCGCGTCCCTCCAAAGAGAACGGGCCCTCTTGGAATTCATGAGAACAAACTGGGTCCCTGAAAGTCGGGGTTTGTCGGGGTGTCTGTGTCTGCCACCTGCAGTTGACATTTGCAGACTGTGCCCTATAGCCACACAGGTGGGGAGGAGAAAGCACGTCGTCCCGTCTTCAGTCCCTGGCGCCTTCCTGCTGGCTAGTCCATGCCCGCGGCCCAGGCGGCCTTCTTGGCATTCAGGAAGTTCTTCTTCTTCCTGGGAGGAACGCGCAGCGAGATCTCCGGCTCCGCGGGATTTCTGAATATAAAGAGCTTCTCGCCCATGTTCAATAAATCAATGGCTTCTGCCCCGACGATGGGCACGGGCACCAGGTCGCCGCTGGACTCCAGGGACAGGTGTGGCCAGCCCCCTTTCCCTGAGCACACCGTCCGCTCTCTGAGAGGGGGGCACGTCTTCCTCAGTATGCTGCAGACAGAACGGAAGATGACAAGAGTGTCCTGGGAGCACCCCCTTCTCTGTCCCTAGGTCCCCAATAAAGTACCATTGTACAGGGAGGCTTTCTTGTTGGTCACCAGATGGCCCCTGAAACTGGCTGCAGACAACCTGACTGACAACCGTTCCATTTTCAAGAGTTTCACCTGTTGCCATCTTGTTGTTCGCTTGCAATCAGCCACGGTGGGAGTATTTACACCATGGAAATTGGCACATGCTACACATAGAGCCCCTGTCCCCCTCCCAGGACACCCCTGCCTGTGGCCCTCACACTAAAAGCTGGCGGCAACACCTCATTACAAAGCAACAGAAGTTGGGGAAAAGGTGCCTGAAGCAGGAGAGAGGGACACGCTTTGGGAATGCGGCCCAGGATGCCTTCGCTCCCCCATCCTGATCCCACGCAATCGACTGTGTTCTCTGGTGGAGCCCTTCACCGTTGGAACAGCTCGAATCTCCTTTTCCTGGTTTGGGCTCAATATCCGGACCTAATGTCTCGGGGACTAAGTTCTGCTCTGCGCCTACCGCCCACGTCTCCGAGGTATTTCTCAGGGACAATTAGGGGGCGCAGTCTCAGCACCTGCACCGGGGCTCTGAGAAATTAGGGGAGTGGACACTCCCCTTGGATTCCCACTGTTCCCAGGGCCCACGCTGGAGACCACGTTCCAGCCCATCATGAACTAGTTGGTGCTCCTTTTTCTCCATATCTTCTCCCATGGGCATCACTGGAGACACTGGTCAACTGTTTGCAGCCATCTGCAGCCACTCCGCCCGCTCCCCTCTGCTCCCCGGGGGTGCGGGCACCAGTTAAAGGAGAAAGACACTTGGTAGAGAAGAAAGCACTGGCCTGGGAGTGTAGGGAGAGAGAGGGGCCAGTTAGATGTCCCAAGTCCCAGGGCCACTCCTTACAGCGCAGACCGGGGCCTCTTCATCTGAGCTCCCTGAGCTCTGGGGTTACCGTCCCCACTTCCTGGGAGGCTCAGTGCAGTAAGACGGGCTTCTCCAACCATAAAGTGAACAGCTGTGAGGAGTTACCCTCCTTCTAATGATATCCCATTAACAAAGGTCCACTGGTGAAAAGGCGTACAGTAATCCAAGTGCTAACGTAGGATAAGCGAACACCCCCCACTGGCTGGAGGCTCACCCTCAGCTCCTGGAGTAGGAGGAGACTGTGGTCTCCAGGAAGAATGGCCCCTTCTCATCCGTGCCCCTTCCACCAGCTCCCAGGCTGCCCTCCGGCTCCCAGGCTGCCCTGGTCCCCCCCACCCCCCACCCCTGCAGCAGGTGCCCGTCATTACCTCTCCTTCCTCCGGCGCGCCCACAGCATCTTGTCCAGGCCGCTGCTTCTCAGTTCTCCGCGCAGCCTGCTTTCTAAGGCCTGCCACCAGCCCTGGTGCTTCCTGAAGGCAAGAAGGAGCGTCTATGTTCTCAGGAAGAAGAGACTCTCCCAGGAGCCGTTACCCCGGCCTGAGGGGAAGGAGCCCACACTACAAGCCCAGTAATAGGGCCCCAGAGCACATGCACCTGGGGGAATATTAGGCAGCCGGTAAAAATAATACCTATGAAGGTGTTTCAACAGCTGTGAAAAGCATGACTTTAAATTGTGAATAAAATAACAGAAAATACAGTCTAAATAGTGTGTTAATCTATATATATAAAAGCCTAAGTGACCATTTGACCGTTCGACTGGTAGCTATGACACGCACTGACCACCAGGGGGCAGACGCTCAACGCACAGGCATGGAAACATGGAACAGGCTGATGAGTCTCAGAGGGAAGTGGGGAGGGCGGGAAGAGAGTAACCAAAGATCTTATATGCATACTAGAGGCCCGGTGCCTGTGCACCGGGGGGGTCCCTCAGCTTAGCCTGTGGGGATCGGGCTGAAACCAGCAGTCCGACATCCCCCAAGGGTCCCGGATTGGGAGAGGTGGAGGCCAGGCCAAGGGACCCCACCAGTGCATGAATCCGTGCACCGGGCCTCTAGTTATTATATAGTGACTTTGCACATCAACCAGAGTTGGAAGAAAATAAGATCAGCTTCTGTCTGAGGTTCTGGGAAGCAAGAGGCAAGGCGGTGCACATGGGATTACTACACACATACACATGCATGCACACATGCACACACACATGCATATACACAACCCAGCAGAGAAACACGTGAGGGAGGAAGAACTGCAGTCAAATCCCACCAGCCCTTTCCTCCGGCTGGTGGAGCCATGACTTTCCTGTTGTGTTTTTTACACTGTTTCTAGTATGTGTGTATTTTACATTGTCATTAATGTGTGTCCAGCATATCTACAGCCCAGAAACTTACTTTCTTCTCTTTTTTTTTATTGATTTCAGAGAGGAAGGGAGAGGGAGAGATAGATAGAAACATCAATGATGAGAGAGAATCATTGATTGGCTGCCTCCTGCACGCCCCCTACTGGGGATTGAGCCTGCAATCCAGGCATGTGGTCTTGACTGGAATCGAACCCGGGACCCTTCAGTCCACAGGCCAACGCTCTATCCACTGAGCCAAACCACCGAGGGCAGAAACTTACTTTCTTAAGATCCTACTTGAAAAATAAATTGGTGACAAAAGGAGAAAGTGTGGACAAAACATGTGGGACCACCAGGACGGGAAAACGACCCATGATGACGGTCCTGGCAGCCCCTGCTCTGGGCAATGGCGTGCCGGCCAGGGAAGGCTGTGCCGTGGGCCCCGCGTCCCGCGCCCCGCCCTCCATCTGTTCTCCTGACTCTTGCTCACTGCTCCCCAGATGCTGACTCACCCCCTCCGGCCCAGGTCGGCCTGCTCCCCGCCACCATCATGCTCCGCCGCGGGGTCCGGCTGCTTCTGGCTGAGCGACTCCAGCAAGGCCAGCAGCTCAGGCTGTGGGGCTGCGGGCAGAGCCACGCTCAGGAGGCGGCGCAGCGTGCCCGCGGGCACCATCGTCAGCTTGGACAGGTACGAGGCCAGCCGCAGCTCCTAGGGGGTAAGGCAGCAGCTCAGGCCTCAGCTCCCAGGGGCTAAGGCAGTGGGGCTCAGCCTGATGAAAGGCAAGTTCTAATGGATCACAGGCTTAGGATGCCTCCTCCCAGGGAAATGCATAGCCAAGTAGCTCAGTCTTAGAAACTTGTCCCCAAATCACAGAACTGGCTCCCCATGACATCTGCACAGCCTTCGCCCATCCCTTCCGAGGACCCCCAGCTCACCCGCTGGCTAACACCCTGGCCTGCAGCAGCGACAATTACTAATGTCCCTTCTCCTACTCATGTTTGCGGAGCCGGGGTGGGGCCAGCACAGGCTCCAGAAACAACAGAAATGTCCCGAAACCACGGACAGTTAAAGAAACGTGCTGTGGCCCCACGGGAACAGCACCGGGCGGTGAGGAAGCGGGTGGATTTCGGGGCCGTGCACTGAGTGAAGAAAGCCAGGTTCCGCGGGGCCGGCCCGTGTGACTCCCTGTGTGTGACATTCCAGAACCGAGGAGCGGCCACCAGGGCTGAGGGGTGGGTGTGCCCACCCGGGCGGCACAGGCAGACCTTTGTGGCCCTGGGACAGTTCATCGTGGTGTTGGCTACGGGACTCCACATGTGACGATGACAGATTGTGTAGCAACGTCCTTGTCCTGGCCTGGGTGTTGTGTTGGGTTTGTGAGGTGCAGCCACTGGGAAAACTGAGGGAAATGTGGGAGGGGCACGGGAACCCTATGGGCTACCTTAGCAACTTCCTGCGAATCTAATATTATCTATACTAATAAAAGGGTAATATGCTAATTAGACTGGACATCTTCTGTATCTCCTTCCGGACAAAGTCATGGTGGCAGGGGCCAAGGCAGAGGCAGTTAGGGATGATCAGGCCAGCAGGGGAGGGCAGTTAGGGGACGATCAGGCTAGCAGGGGAGGGCAGTTAGAGGTGATCAGGCCGGCAGGGGAGCAGTTAGGGGCATGAGGCCAGCAGGCAGAGTGATTAGGGGTGATCAGGCAGGCAGGCAGGCAGGCAGGCAAGCGGTTAGGAGCCAGTGGTCCCAGATTGCAAGAGGGATGTCCGACTGCCGGTTTAGGACTGATCCCAGCAGTCGGACATCCCCCGAGGAGTCCCAGATTGGAGAAGGTAGTGGCCGGGCTGAGGGACACCCCCTTCCCGCCCCCTCCACCCCCTGTGCATGATTTTCATGCACTGGGCCTCTAGTTTCAAAATAAAAGGTTAAGAGGGAACAGGCTCTGCATCCCAAAAACCTGGGCCAGCCCTCAGCCCCCCACAGGAATCGCGCGTCCTCGGACAGCGTCCTTACTCTCCTCGGTGTGAACCTGGACAAGTGTCGCCTCCGCAAGACCTGCCTGGAGGGGCGATGGCAGGACCGGCCCGACAGTGAGGTCCTGAGTGTCCAGTACTTGCTGGGTCCTGTCCTAGGGCAGGTGGCCCCTCCTTTAACCATTCCCCAGCTCTTCCCCCGGTTCCTGCTATCAGCCCAGTCCTCAGGCGGGAAAGGTGGGCTCTGAGCAAAGGGAGTGACGTGCTGGCAGGAAACAGGGCCAGAGCGCGGCCCACGCGCCCTCACCTGGCTGTACAGGCCCACGAAGGCGTCCGCCTCCATGCGCTCCAGCAGGTCTTCGAGCACCACGCTGCGCTCCTGCTCCTCCCGCAGGCTGCAGGGAAGCGACACCGCGTGAGCCGTTTTATTACAGAGCAACCCCGTGAGATCGCTGGCTATTTAACGAAGAATCGCCATCCAACCCACGCTGTACTGTGTCAAGTCCACGGAGACTGGGCCGGAGAGGAGGGCTGCCTCTCCTCACCCAGCCCGCTCCCCGGTGATGCACCCGACGGCTCACCTCTGCTGCTGGCGCTCCAGGAGCTCCTGGCTCCGGCCCAGGGCCCGCCGCAGCGCCGCAGAGACCTGCCCTTCGGAATCCGCGTCCTCAGGCTCCGTCAGGAGCCCGGGCCCGTCCTCTGCCCACTGCTGCCGCCCGGCCAGGGCCCGCTGCCGCTGGGCCGCCTCCTGGTGGGCCAGCTCCTCCTCCAGCTTCCTCTCCAGCTCCTGGAGCTCCTGCACGCAGAGGGGCAGGTGGTGAGCACAACGCAGTGGGGGGGGGGGGGGTAGGGGGGGAGAGGACCGGAGAAAACCCCACCTGCTCGGCCTCCCCATTGAGCCCTGGCAAGCAATGCGATGAGGCTGCCCCAGATCTCACAACCCCTGGCTTTTGCACATGCTGTCCCCACCCCATAGAGCCTTCCCTGTTTGCCTGGCTAATTCTGGGTCTTCCTTCCAGCCCTGGCTTAGGAGAAGGGGTCCCTTGGTACCTCCTCACGTGCCCACTCCCCACCCATGGGTATGCCTGTTCCGGAACGAGTGCTCTGCCCCCTCAGAATCCAGGCGATGGAGCCCGAAGCCACAATGGGGTGGGATCGGGAGGCGGGCCTTTGGGAGGTGAGCAGCTTCGCTGAGCTCACCGATGGCGGCGGGGCCCTGGGACAGGACTAGCGCCCTGTGAGAAGGGAGGAGACGGCGCTCCCTCTCCGCGTGTGCAGGTGCAAGGAGGCAGCGGGCTGCAACCCGGGAGAGGGCCGGCACCACACACAGAATCTCCGGCACCTGATCCGGACTCCAGCCTCCAGAACCGGGAAAAACACAGGCCTGCTCGATGGTGTTTTGTCACAGCAGCCAGAGCTGACGAAGACAATGCCCCATTTTTTGCTGTCACCTGAAATCACTGCCGTGGGCCTTCTGCCAGAACGTGAGCTGGGCCTGCATCTCCCTGTCGGCAGCCCTGGGCACCGTGCCCGGCAGCGGGCACCCACCACGGATGGAGGCTGTGCCGAGCGCAGCAGCCACGCTCGCACCGTGTGCTCGGATGCGGGCCCTGCCGAGAGCTTTGCGTGAATTCCTCGCTGAATCCTACAGCCACCTACACAGCGCGCACTCTTTCTCTTTCACAGACGAGGCCACTGAGGCCCCGAGAGCTCCCGTCATCTCCCAGGTCATGGACCTCTCAGTGTCAGAGCAGAATCGGAGGCCAGAGGTGGCTCCAGGTTTGTGTCCTTCACCACCGGGCCGCCCTGCCTCTCACTGACCACACAGAAGAGGGCTGCACCCTTAGCCACTGGAACCAGGCGCTCTGGGTGCGAGACGGCCCACTGCCGGGTGAGGTGGGCAAAGGGGGTGTGGGCAGGGGGTCCCCAGCCTCGCAGCTGCAGGCAGACTGAACCCATTGCCCACAGCTGGCCAGCCTCTCGGTGGGTGGGGGCAGGGGGGTCACCCAGAGAGGCCTTGGATGGGCTTCCTGAGGGACGTGGCCCTCGGTCCCCACACGTGTACACGATGGGCCACCTCTCTGCAGAAGGGCCGCTGCATCCACTTCTCAGAGGGTCTCAAAGCCCCACAGAACCAAGATGGCCAGAGAGGTAAACTGAGGTCACAGTGCGGCACGTGCTGCTTGGGTGTCACCCTCAGGACCATGGGAGCCTTCGGACATTTCTGAGCAGGAGGGTCAGGCGCACAGAGATGTCTAACCACATCTCCTGCTGTGGCGCCCACCCGCGGGGCCTAGCAGCTGCTCCCTGGGCGCCCGGGCGGTCACCGACCTGCCCTCCAGAGACAGGAGTCACGGGGGTGGGGGGGGGCAGCCGGGCAGAGGACCCTCAGGGCCGACCTGTCCAGTGCTCAGAAGCAGCCGGAAGGTCCAGGGGGCTCAGCGAAGGGTCCGAGGGAGGGAGGGAGGGAGGGAGGGGCAGAGGTGAGGCATTAAGCTCTGAGCTGGGGATGGCAGCCGGTGGTGGTATTTGTCTTTCGGAAAGATTGCTGCTCTGGCTCCGTGCGGAGGGGAGGCCGGAGCAGAGGAAGCCGGGGTAGGTGCAGCTTCCCAGCCACATGACCTCGAGGGAGAGGCCGCACTTCCTGTGCCTCCCTCGGCATCTGAGAATCACACAGAAACCGCCTGTCTCCAGGGTTAGCACCCCAGCCCTGGGCTGAATGAGGCTCCAACCATGGAGCTGCTATGAGCGTTAGTGCGATTTCCAGGTATTGATGCCTCAGAGCTGTGAAGCTGGGCAGGAGAGAGAGAGAGAGAGAGAGAGAGAGAGAGAGAGAGAGAGAGAGAGAGAGAGAGAGAATGAATTCAGACCATATGGACAGATGGGTGAGGAGCAGCAAGTGGGCAGGAGCCCGAGGGGGAAGAGGAAGACAGTCACAGCTGGGGAGGTGGACGCCAGCAGTGTGAGCCGCGGTGCAGACATGGGGTGCAGTCCCTTCGGGCCACATGGCCCGCTGCACCAGCCCCACCTCCTTCATTGGCCCATCACTGCCCGTGCCGAGCCTCAATGACTCCTCTGCACACGTTCCAGTTCCACAAGACCTGCGACGTCAAACGAGGTGCACTTGGTAGTTTTTCCCAGGAGTCATTTCTTCCAAAGCATTTCATTCATGCTTTTCATCCTCCCAGATGCTGAACAGCGTGAAAGCCGTGTGGTGCCATGTGCTCCCGGGAAGTTACCTCCTGAACCCTCACCACAGCCCAGACCCGCGGGTGGACAGGGCAGGCCCGCCCACTGGGTGGTGGGGAACCCGGGTGAGCCGAGGGGTGACGCGCAGCCCCGCCCGCCCCGGGCGCACTCACGGGGCTGTGGGACTCCAGGATCTGGGCGCAGGCCGCCTTGGTCAGCGTCTCCGACTCGCTCAGCTCCTCCAGGAGCAGGTGTTGGACGCTCAGGAGGGCGGTGTAGGCCCACAGCGTCCGGGCCGCCCCGGCTGCCTTCTGGAACTGCAGGGCGACCAGGGACTCGGCGAAGCGGCCCTCCTGGGCCTCCAGCTGCTGCACCCGCTCCCGCAGCAGCTCGGCGCGGACCTGGGAGGGCAGAGCCAGAAGCCAGAGGGGTCAGCGGACAGAGGAGCAGCGAGAGCAGCCGCTTCGGAACGGCAGGCGTTAGATTTCCATCTTTAACTCAGGACTCGACACAAGGCCTCCAATATTTACTAAGATGCGGGCCTGGAGTCTGCAGTTTCAGACCCCGGGGCCTCTCCGGTGACACCCCACGGGGCTTTGGGGCCTGGCTGCTCATTCCACGCTGACCACTCCTGAAGGCAAACCCAACCTCGCTGCCATCCGGCGCGAAACCCTCCAAGGCTCCCCGCGGTAGAGGATGCGGTTCAGGCTCCGCGACCCCAGCCAAGGTCACCTGGGTGGGTGGGGTCTGTTCTGCACCTGCACCCACACCGGTGACTTCCACCCTCGCCGACCGCTCACGGCCCACACTCCATGCTCTGCCTCTACTGGTGACGGACATGTCCCCGCATCCTCGGCCCATGAAGCGTGCTCACTCTGCACGTGTTTGTCACTCTTCTCTGTGACCCCACATTCCACGCTCTCCACCCAGGGGGACCCTCACCACACCGTTCACCCCACCAGGACACGAGCTCCCCTGGAGGAGCCGGCAGCCAACGGGCTCAGTAACTTCTAGATGAGTGAACCCATTCCCTCCACCCGCACCCTGGGGGCATGGCCGCCCCCATCTCCTGGGAGGCCTCGTCCCCGTCCCCGTGGAGATGCAGGGCAGCGGGAGTGACTATGTGGGCTACCTCTCAAGTTTATTTATGCAGATTCACACCTACAATGGGGGGCGGGGACTAAAGCCTCCCGTATGTGCTTAAGAACACGTGGACCGTGAGATTACGGGAAGAATGGTTCTTGAAAGCCCTTTCTTCCCCTTCTCCCTGGGAAGCTTACTTAGTGAATCCCGGGCCGGGAGAAGGTGCGCTGGAGGGCTCATCCGGTCGGAAAGAGCTCCGGGGAGAGGGGCAGACCTGCCTTCCCATGCGGCACTAGACGGGCTCCCTGAAACAGTCCCGCTGCCCACAGCAATGAAACCACATTTCCAGCACGAGCTGCTAAAGACCCTGATCCCTACCGGGAGGTCCCAACGCCTTCCGCACCAGCTGCCCTGGGGACACTCCTCAGAGAGCAAAGCAACAGAACAAAGGGCAGGCACAGGGTGAAAAAAGAAAAAAATGATTTAAGAAAAGTTCCCAGAATTCCAAGATTGGCCAAACTCTGCCCTGTAAGGGGCAGATTAAAGCACAGCAGCCTTAAAACCTGCCAACTGTCCAATCGCCGTGTGCCCTTCCCTAGGACACTCCCAGAGGGTGCGTCATTCAAGTACGAGACGTCGGGAAAGAGGGTGAGGGAGTCCCAGTGTGACGCCGGAGGGCTGTGCACTGGCTCTGTGGGCACCGTGCGGGTGGGGGCGCGGCAGGCACAGGCGACGTCCTCCCGACCACGCGCCCCAGAGGGCATGGCCTGTGTGTCGGTCCCGGCAGGATATCCGGTCAACTGTCCAGAAGTGTATGGAAGGGCTGATAACTGTACAGAAAAGTGACCAGGAAGAAACCAAAGGATAGTAACAACTCCAATAAAAACAAAAGGCTGCACAGGGGAGGAATGACTCTTGGTTTTTACGTGGCCCAGATGTGAATGACATTTAAATAATCATAAGAACAGCCATCTTAACTACGGATCTAACTGCATTGGGAGTTAGGGGACAGGATGCCCGTGTGTTTGCAGGTTGAAAAAAGGTAGCGAAATCTTATCTCCCATAAAGAAGGTAAATAGATTATGCCAAAGGCAAGAAACGGAGAAACAGCAAGACAAGTATATCATTTAGAGACATGGAGGCCAACATGAAAAGGTCAAGCCAAAAACTGAAAAGTCGTTACCTCTGGGGATTTAGAAACGGGCGTGTCTGTGGCCGCAGGAGCCTCTGCTTTTGAAAGCACAAACCCTATAGAGCAGTGGTTCTCAACCTTCTGGCCCTTTAAATACAGTTCCTCATGTTGTGACCCAACCATAAAATTATTTTGTTGCTACTTCATCACTGTAATGTTGCTACTGTTATGAATCGTCATGTAAATATCTGATATGCAGGATGGTCTTAGGCGACCCCTGTGAAAGGGTCGTTCGACCGCCAAAGGGGTCGCGACCCACAGGTTGAGAACCGCTGCTATAGAGCTACTTGGCTCTTGAAAAGCATGTGTGCACAAGCGCAAGAGCGTGAAAAGTAGAATTTTCTAGTGGACAACGTAAAAAAAAGTTACTGCAGTGAAACCAGGCAGACAGCCGTGGTGCCGTTCAGTGCCTGGAAGGGTGTGAACTCGGGGTTAGAACGGGAAGCTGAGGCTGATGGCGAGGCCTTGAACGCCATGCCCCGGAGTCTGGATTTTGTTTGGGGGCAGAGGGAAGCCAGGAGATCTCCCTCCCAACAACGCTGCGTCCGCCGGAGACCACCTGGACAGAGGCTGCCTCGGGAGAAAGCGGGGGCAGGAGACGGGGAGAGACCCGTGGTTTGGATGGATGGAGCCCCCTCTTCCTAGAGCACCTTCCCTCCCACACGCCTGCTAGTCCACGCTGCTCCCTCTTGTGAGGTCGTCCGGAAACGAGCACATTATCCTCATGCGTCAAGTCTAGTCACTTCTGAAATGACGCAGGGGCGGCAGCCACCTCCATGTGATCGCCAGGGCAGCGGAGGCGTCACAGCAGGACGGCGGTGCTGGCAGCGGCTGTGGCGCTGAATGAAGGACCGTTAATGAGCCGTGCAGGCCTGGCTCATCCTGGGACCGGCACGCGGGGACTGCATAATGAATGAGAGCTCGGACGTGTGGCAGACAAGCCACCCAGGCGCAGGGCAACGCCATTAAAATCATCTGGAAAGAGCGGGTGAGTGGGGAATGCGGGCATGTCATTTTCACTTACATTTAAATGCTGTTGAGGAATATTTATGAGAAATGAAGATATGCCTTGTGCACAAACAGCAGGAGACTATGGCTTAGACCCACTGAAATCGCCCCTTCGTTTCTGGGTTCATCAAGCAGATCCACTACCTGAACACAGGTCCTGCCTATAGGCCCCTCTGCCTGCCAGCTGCGTGGCCGTGGCCAGGCCTCTCCGGGCCTCAGTGTTCCCAGCTGTGAAGTGGACGCAGCAGTAGCTGCTCTGCGTGCCTCGCTGCAGAAGGCTGTGGGATACGGGCAGACTCCCCAGGTCACTGCAAACAGGAAGGCACTAGAAAGCCTCAGGGCTCCCTGACGGAGGGCTGCCTCAACCCTGTGAGGACCACACGTGCTGTGCAGTGCGATGCTGAGAGAGACGCAGGAGGAAACGCTGCACCGAGTGGAATCCTCACGTTTCAGTCTGCGTAAAAAGCAGACGGATGGGCGGATGGGCACGCAGACAGATTTCGGCAGATGGACAGAACGTTTCTAGTAGCTGGAAAGCTAACATGAGCCACCTAACCTGTGTTGTGTCTGCGCTGCCTCTCAGGACAACACCATTAAAGCTGTACCTTCCTCCATCAACTCCGAAAAGGCAGGAAGCGCACGCTGGTCTATCCGTCAGTCTGCCTGTCTGTCCTTCCCCCCCAAATCAATCACACAACCATTCATCCAGGGAAGGGCTCAGGTCGGCCAGGCGGATGGGACGTCTGACGGCGGAGGTGAACTCCAAGACGCCGAGGCGCACAGCGGCCGCTCTCTGAAACCGTGAACACGCCAAGGGTGTGGATCTAGAACAGCACGTAGGTCCACCGTGGCCCAGAGGGCACGCCCCAAAACGCCCCTGTCCGTGCAGGCACTGATGGCGGTCTATCACTTTAAGGCAGCGGTTCTCAACCTGTGGGTCGCGACCCCTTTGGCAGTCCAACGACCCTTTCACAGGGGTCGCCTAAGACCATCCTGCGTATCAGATATTTACATGACGATTCATCACAGTAGCAACATTACAGTGATGAAGTAGCAACGAAAATAATTTCATGGTTGGGTCACAACACGAGGAACTGTATTTAAAGGGCCAGAAGGTTGAGAACCACTGCTTTAAGGGCTTCTTGCCCTCCTCCCCAGCTAGAACGTGTGCCCTGTGAGAGCAAGGACTGAGCTCATCAGCAGAGCCTGGGGCACGGCTGCCTCCTCGGACACGAGAGGAATGAGTGACATGCACAACGCGTGTTACCACAGACAAGAAAGGGAGCTGAGGGGGGGGGAACCCGGGGAAGACCGGGTGTTCCGATAAGGCTTCTTGAAAGAGGGGCCCCCCGAGGGCAGAGGCCACGCCTGAGGACAGCGGAGGATGAGTCATCTGTCCAGGTAAAGGCAGGTGGGAAGGGAACCCAGGGAGAGGCAAGAACGTGGACGGTAAGCACCATGCTGCCGAGCGTGCCTTCTGCAGGGACAGGAAGCCTGATCGGGGAGCAATGGGAAACACGCGAGGGATGGAGGCCAGGCTGCTGTGGGAGCGCCGGAGGGTGCGAGGAGGGTGCGGAGGGTGCGGAGGGTGCGCGGGGTAAAGAGCAGACAGAGTGACGCACCCCGTGCGGACACCTCGCCAGGCTCAGGGCCAGGCACCAAGGTGGCGGCAACCTCGGGCAGCGGGGACAGCAGCTGGGGGGGCCTGAGGGTGACCCGGAGACCTCCGGGCGCACAAGCGGAGTAAGACGGTTCCAGACAGAAGGAGCCGGTGCAAAGGCGTGCGGGAAGGGCAGGTCCACCTGGGACAGTTTAGAATCTCGGCGTTTGGTGGAGACAGACCGTCGCAGCCGGACAGCCGCAGCCGAGGGCTCCGTGCGCCCTGTGGACAGTCGCCGGCCCTGCCCAGTGCCACGGCAGCAGGCGAGGGGGAGCACTGACCTTTTCCAGCAGGTCCTCCGGGGCCGGGCCATCAAAGAGCTGGATTTTATCTTCAATGCACTTCCTCAGAAGGTCGGTCTTGCTTTTACTCTTGGCGCGCGGCTTCCTCGCCTTGGCCTGTGGCTGGAGAGGGGAGAGAAAGCACGCGGGCACATGCATGCAGTCCGCCTCCCAAAGTCAGGCCCCGAGGGCCGGACAAGCTCGGGGGCTGGAGGGGCCCAAGGTGAGGTCACGGTGCTCAGCAAATTGTGATTCGGTTAATGACTGAGGATAGCAGATGCGACCGTCTCTGAGCCTCACTTTGCACACCTGCAAAATGGGTATCTGCCTCATCCGATGACTGCAAGATCCTAACAACACTACGTAACAACATAAAAAGGGAAAGTAACACAAGACAGCATGCCATAATGCACCGCAGTATAAGTAATAACGCAACAGAATGTAACAGCATAATGCAAGGACTGGACATGAGAACACAGCAAAACACAGCCCAGCCCAGCCCAGCCCAGCACACCTGCGAGGCTCAGTGCCGCTGGTCTCCTTCCCCTCCCAGCTCGCCCGCCTGCCCTTCCTCCTCCCTGTCACATCCCTGGAGGTCCCATGATCTCCTTCTCAGGACGTGGACACAGGCCTGCCCACCAGACTCGGCCCTTGGCTCCCGAATAATCTCTCAGGCTGGCCACGGGATGGTGGCCCGTCCGCATCCCCTCCGAGGAAGGAGGCACAGACCCGGAAATTCACGGAGTTCAAAGCACCCCCATTTGACAGAGGAGGAGTCTGAGGCCAGGAGAGCAGACTCGGTGGCCTCAAGCCACATCATGGGGGCCCTGAGATCTAGGTCTCAGGTTTCCTGACTCCTGAGCTCAACTCTTTAAATACTCAGGCTGGGCTCAGCTAATTCCATGAGTTAACTACAGTTTTCATTTCCTGATCTAACGGGGATAATACAAAAAAATAAGTAATTGTGTTGTCAAGGCCTCTTAGGAACAGAGCCAGGCTGGTAGGGAAGACCTTGGAGCTCAGAGTCTGGATTCGGGCTGGGAGGGGATAAGGCAAAGAGGGACAGGGGAAGGGGTGTGGGGGTGGGGGAGTGAGGGGAGTGGCCATCCTGTGCATCGCCCCAGCCCCACGCACAGTGATGTCAAGCCGGCAGATTGAAATTGGCCTTAGAAGTATTTACACCAGGGAAATGGGCAAATGCTACAAATGGGGACCACCCTCCCCCGCATGTCCCCGAACCTCCGTTGAGAGCCGGTTCACCAGCATGTGCCTGAGATTGTGGCAGAGCGTACATCCTGGCAGAGCGCCACGGGAAGGCTCGAAGAAAGTGGGGGGGGGGGGAATCTGACTTAAAGATGGCGAGGTCCTCAGGAACTCATTTATTAATAAACAAAATGTACTGCACACCTGCCAGGCGACAGGCACTTTCTAGGTTCTAGGGTCATGGCTGCTGGTGGACGGTGCAAGGAACGGTGCAAGGAGCCGGGCAAGGGGATCTGGACTGGGCACCAGTGTGTCCACTACAGACCAGTTTGGCGGCTCCAGGAACAGCCGATGCCAACAGGGCTGGAGAGGAGGATGGGGGCCAGTGAGGTGCGATGAGGCCAGGGTGGGGGCTGAGGCCGGGCCCCGCGGCATCAGCAGGAGATGCCCCACCTCTGCCATCAAGAGGCCACTGGCCAGCTGGCTCAGGTGGGTGGAGCATCGTCTCGTGCACCAAAAAGGCGGGTTCGATTCCTGGTCAGTGCACGTGCCTAGGTTACAGGTTTGATCCCCAGCCGGGGAGTGTACAGGAGGCAACCGATCGATGCTTCTCTTCCCCCCTCTCTCTCTTCCCCTCTCTCTCTAAAAAAAAATCAATGAACATTTCCTCCAGTGAAGATTAAAAAAACACACCAATCCACCAAGATGTCCATCCTACCTGCAGCTCGGGGGCAGCCAGGGCCTGGTCCAGCTTCAGGAACTCTGCCTCCCGCCAGGCCGTGTGCAGCCGCTGCAGCAGGACGCGGGCCCGGATTCGGGGCAGGGCCAGGCTCCTGTCCATCTGAGCGAAGCAGCTGTGCACGTCCTGCCGCATCCGGAGCAGCTCCTCCTCGGACAGGGAGAAGGGGGAGCCGCAGAGCCTCCTGGGGGCAGGGACAGGGTGTGGCTGGTGACATCCCCTCACACACGGACCGCGCATCTCTACCCACTCGTCATTGCGGGACCCTGATGCTTCCCTCCCTGGCCTTGTCAGTAACGGCGCCGTGAACTCCTGCCACCCAGTGGGTGTTATGTTCCATGAAATAAGTCAGACAGAGCAGAACAAATACTACACAATTCCACCTATATGTGGAATCTATAAAACAAACAAATAAAACAGAAACAAACTCACAGACACAGAGAACAAACTGATGGTCGCCAGACTGGATGGGGTGGGGGACGGGTGAAAAAAGGTAAGGGAGTTAAGAAATACAAATGACCAGTTATAAAAACAGTCAGCGGGATGCAAAGTACAACTTGGGGAACACGGGCAATAATCCTACATAATAAAAGGCGAATATGCAAATTGACCAAACGCCGGAATGACGGGTCGCTATGACGCACACTGACCACCAGGGGGCAGACACTCAACACAGGAGCTGCCCCCTGGTGGTCCGTGCACTCCCACAGGGGGAGTGCTGCTCAGCCAGAAGCCGGGCTCATGGCTGGCGAGCACAGTGGTGGTGGCGGGAGCCTCTCCTGCCTCTGTGGCAGTCGAACATCCTCTGAGGGCTTCCAGGCTGCGAGAGGGCACAGGCCGGGCTGAGCCTCCCCACCCACCCCAGTGCACAAATTTCGTGCACCCGGCCTCTAGTACTGTAATAACTATGTTTGGTGCCAGGTGGGGACTAGCCCTCTCGGGGTGGCCATTTCATAAGGGATGTGAATAGCTAATCACCATGTGGGACACCTGAAACGACTATGATATCGTACATCAAGTGTAATTGACAAATAAATTTAAAAAAATAGTTATACTTTTTACTTTAAAAAAGAACAGAAGTGTGTTCTCATCCATAGAAGATAGCGGGGCTGTGCTGGGGGTGGGGGAGCTGAGGATTCAAAGGGCAAGAGTCATTAGCGAAATTCACGTCTGCAAAATGACATCATGTCCTTCCTCACATCTGCACTCTGCAAGGATTCCCTGAGCATCGCACGCCTGTCTGAGGGACGCGCCATCACACCGGGTCCGGGAACTCAGCGTCCAGTGCGCGAGGCCGTGAGGCTGCCTGTGGAAGGGCAACCGGCTCCCGGCGTTCATGACCTGGCAGATAACGGGCATGGGAGCAGAGGCTGCCCACTGACCCTGGCCAGCAGTTCCCTGCAAACGGGACGAGGAGCCCACCTCCGCTCCGGTGGGCCAGGGACTGGGGGTCCCCCGTCTGGGTCCTAAAGGCTGATGGTCATGTAGAGCAGTGGTTCTCAACCTTCCTAATGCCGTGACCCTTTAATACAGTTCCTCATGTTGTGGTGACCCCCAATTTCATTGTTACAAATTGAACGTAATTAAAGCATAGTGATTAATCACAAAAACAATATGTAATTATATATGTGTTTTCCGATGGTCTTAGTCGACCCCTGTGAAAGGGTTGTTTGACCCCCAAAGGGGTCGCGACCCACAGGTTGAGAACCGCCGACGTAGAGGAAGCTGTTCCGCATGGAAACCACGCTGAGTGGCCGACTGTGATGGGTTGACGTCTGTGCCCCCTGAAAGGTGTGTGTTTGAGTCCTAACTCCTATTACCAGGGAGTCTGACTTTACTTGGCAATAGGATCTCACAGATGCAGTGGAGCAGTCAGGGAGGAGGGCGGGCCCTTAGTCCAATAGGACTGGTGTCCCTGTAAGAGCAGACAGACAGACAGACAGACGCACAGGAAGACAGCCATGTGGCGACAGAGGCAGGATCGGAGCGATGCGTCTGCAGCCACTAAACGCTAAGGATGCAGCCACACAGAAGAGGCAGGAAGCGACCCTCCAGGAGCCTGGTGGGACCATGGCCCTGCCGACACCGCCCTTTAGACCTCCGGCCCCAGAGCTATGCGAGGAGGCATTTTTGGTGCTTTTTTCTTTTTTAATATACTTTTGTTGATTTCGGAGCAGAAGGGAGAGGGAGAGAGAGATAGAAACAACGATGAAAGAGAATCCTGGATCGGCTGCCTCCTGGATACCCCACAGTGGGGATCAAGCCTGCAACTCAGGCATGTGCCCTTGACCAGAATGGAACCCGGGACCCTTCAGCCCGCAGGCGGACGCTCTATCCACTGAGCCACACCAGTGATGTGTGTTCATTTCTTTGTTGTGTGTTAATCCTCCCTTGAGGGTATTTTCCCATTTGCAGACCATACACAGTATCCACTTAAAACTCAGCCTGCTGTATTTGGTCAAACAGTTAATGAACTCACCCCAATGCCTTGGCAGGGCCAGGCCACATGACTCCAAGGGCCTTCTTTATACAGCCCGCGGGCCGGACGCCCCCCACCCCTACTCTACACCAAGAAAAGAGCAGGGGAAGGGTCTTGGTTTTGTTTCTTTGCTAAATGGGGTTTTTTAGGTTGACGTTTGTCAGTTTGTTGAAAGAAAAAGCAACTTGAAGGCATATTGATCGGTAGGACCACAGGTTACAGGACAAAAGGGCTCCTGTCCCTCATCAAACATCAGTTCTCACCCAGGGAGCAGGCGAGGTCCCTGCAGAGCCATCCGTCCTGGGTTCAATTCCCAGCTGCCCACAAACTTATTCAAACTCAGCAATCACACCTCCCGTGGGAACGGGGCACCTCACCCTCTCGTTACTACCAGGCCTGCCTCCCGCAGCCCCGCTTGTTCCGTGCAACCCCCACGCGAATGAGCGGCCCTGAGCGTCACGCAGTGTCCTCCTCCCTGGGCTGTGAGTCATGTGACTTAGAAACTGCTGTCCATCTCGCCTGTCCTCCGCCAGAGGTCGGGTGCCCAGCATCCCATCACCCCAGGGTGAGCCCCTCCCTCACCTGGCGGGACGGGACCGCGGGGACAGCAGGGTGACTCACAGGAAGACCCAGCGCCCCCAGTGCCGCAGCTCCGCCTGCTCCTCCGCCGAGGCCTCCAGCGCGTCGTCCTTGAGCCTCTGCCGCACGCTCCGGACGCCCTCCTGGTCCCGGCCCCGCTCCTCGGCCTCCAGCTGCTCGGCGCGGGCGGCCAGCTCCCGGGCGTGCTCCTCCAGGATCTGCTGCAGGAAGAGCCAGGGCACGCCCCGCTTCAGCAGCTCCTGCGTCAGCGCCGAGCTCTGCAGGCGCCGCAGCTCCTCCGTGGCCTTCTCGAACAGCGACAGGGTCAGCGCCCGGAGCTCGTCCAGCGCCGCCTGGTCCAGGCGCTCCTGCAGCTCCTCCAGGGCGGCGCCCTGGGCCGCCACCAGGCTCCGCCACTGGCCCAGGTACTGGCCCACGTCCTCGGCCGCTCGGAAGGCTTCCCCGACGGACAGCTGCTCCCTGCGCTGCTCCTTGTGCTGCGGGAATTCAGGGAGGACAGGGACACGCTCAGCCCACAGAGCCCTGTGGGCAAGCACCGTGGGAATTTGCTAAGGAAGCGGAGCACGGTGAAGCCTTGGTCTCAACAAGCTCACGGGTAGAAAACTGTCCGGAAGGAAACACCCCAAACACAGTGGAAACTTCATTTGTCCCACGTGTACCAAACCCTCGTCTATGGACTTGGTGACGCCCAGGAGGCAGACCTGGTCCCGATCCTGCTTCTCCACTGGCAGGCGGGGTGGCGGGACCAGAGTCTCATCCTCGCCGGGACCCATTTCCTCGCCTGTAAAGCGAGGATTACAGCGTCCCCCTCGCAGAGTGGTTGTGAGGATTCAATGAGTTGCTTAACACACACAAACTGAATCCGGGGGACAAACAGGCATTTGCTGGGCCCAAGGCCAGGAGGGATGTGAAAGGCGGGGGAAGGGGGTGCCCAAGGCCGGGAGGGATGTGAAAGGCGGGGGAAGGGGGTGCCCAAGGCCGGGAGGGATGTGAAAGGCGGGGGAAGGGGGGTGCCCAAGGCCGGGAGTGACAGGCAGGCAGTGGGGAAGTATCTTGTTCGAGGTGAAGCATTCAGACAGCAGGGACCTGAGAATGTGCGAGCTGGGGTGTGTGAAGGGATGAGGGCAGGGCAGAGGGGGTGTGCCCAGGAATGAGGGCGCATTGTGCCAGCGGTTACCTTCATCCTAGGACAGTGGGGAACGGTGAAGGGTTTTATGAACTCACTAGAGGCCCGGTGCACGAATTTGTGCACCAGTGGGGTCCCTCAGCCTGGTCTGCAGGATCGGGCCAAAACCGGCTCTCCAACACTCCCCGAGTGGTCCCAGATTGCAAGAAGGCATAGGCCAGGCAGAGGGACTCCACCGGTGCACGATCGGGGCTGGGGAGGGATATGGAAGGTTGGCCAGCTGAGGAGGGACCGTGGGAGGGCTCCAGGGCGTGTCCAGCCCATCTCGCTCAGTCCCAATCAGCCAGATCCCAGCAGCAGGCTAACCTTCCAGTTGGAGTGTCTGCCCCCTGGTGGTCAGTGCACATCACAGCAACTGGTCAACCAGTTGACTGCCCTTAGTGGTCAGTGCACGTCATAGCAACTGGTCAACTGTCTGCCCCCTGGTGGTCAGTGCACGTCATAGTGAGCGGTTGAGCCGCCTTAGCATATCATTAGCATATTATGCTCTGATTAGCTGAACAGCCAACCAGACGACTGGACACTTAGCATATTAGGCTTTTATTATATAGGATGCTCGGTAAAGCCTTCCTCTGCAGAAAGAGTAACTCCTGTCTGTGCTACTGGAGCGCACTGTGCAGTTACATGTTTTTCGGCGAGTGTTCAGAATGGTTACACGAAGAATAAGTGGCAGAATTCCTTACGTACCTTTTGCAGCATCTCTCGTCTTCTCTTAACTATTAATTTTTGGTGGAGCTTTTTCTTTTCCTGCTTTAGGTCGTTGTCCAACTTCTGTTTAATGGAGAAGACTTCCGTCTGAGCCCGCTCCATCAGCTCCTCCGTCTGCTCTTCATCCAGGTACCCTGCTCTAGACGAAGGAGACGCGGGGTTAACGCCGCCTCCACATTCTTACTTTGGTTTGAATAAGAGTCTCTACCCTGAAGGAGCAGGAGATGGGTAGGGAGACAGTTCTGAGATACAGGAAGGGCAAGTTCGGCGTCACCACGGACCACGGCCGAACTCAACACCAGGAGAGATCGCCCGGGAGGCAGAAACTGGGCCAGACCCCCGGGAAGAACGTAACAGTCAGTCTGCCTGTGTAAGGCAGGATCTCCAAGGAGACGGTGGGCTAGGAAGTCCTGGTGACAAGCAGGGCACCAGCGAAGTCTAAGAGGTAAGCGTAGGGAGTACTCGGTGAGGGTAATTCTATGAGTCACCTGACGGGCCACGGTGGTGGTTATACATGGATCCTGGGGGTGCCTGTGAGGCTGTTTCCGGATGAGATTACTCCCCACGCACAGTTGCGTGAGCTCCACCACCCATTTCCCAGTGAGATGTCGGGATTTGCTTTAAAATAACCCGGGGTGGTCTGTAGAGCCCCGCTGGCCATGAGTTGGCACCTGTGAAGTTGTGAGGAGCATTTGGGTTGTCTGAACTATCTCGCATGTTTTCTTGTGTTTTTGTTCATCCTCGCCCGAGGTTATTTTTCCATTGATTTTTAGAGAGAGTGGAAGGAGGAATGGTGAGAGAGAGAGTGAGAGAAACACTGGTGTGAGGGAGACACATTGATTGGTTGCCTCCCACACGAGCCCCATGGGGGGCCAGAGATCAAACCAGCAACCTAGATACATGCCCTGGATCAGGAATCGAACCCGAGACCCGTCAGTGCACGGGCCGACGCTCTAACCACTTAGCAACACCGGCCCGGGCTATCATGCATGTTTTTAAATTCTACAATGAACCGGAGTCTTACAATCAGAGAATTTTCTTAAGACATAAGCAAGGAGCGGACAGTGCCTTCGGTGAATGAACAGAAGCAGCGGCCTCGGGCGAGGAATGCGGGGCAAGGCGGCTTGTCTGCATCACTGGGACACTCTGGGGTTTACCTCTCGTGTTTCTGGATGAGGAGGGTCAGCTGGGCAGCGGCAGCGCTCAGCAGGCCCTGCACACGGGTCTCCGCCGACTGCATGTTCTGCACCAGGTACTCCCTGTGGCCGAATCTCTTGCTCAGGTGGTACCTCTTACTGGCCTGGAAAAAGTCCATCAACTCTTCGACTTCCTCCTGCTCGAAAAGGAAATCAAGAGCATTTGCCTGATTGAAATGTAGAGGAAATGCTTTCTAGACACTTAAAATATTCCATTTCTTGTCTGAAGAAAATACACAGGAGCAGGGCCCTGAGATAACTGTAATCTTCTCTGCCCTTAACCAAGGCTTAGAAGGAAACGAAACACGACTAAGAAATGAGGACTTTGAAAAGTGCCCTGGACCCCACCTGATGTGACGAGTCATCAAACATCCTGGCCGCCCTGAACTTGACTCCACCTGCGATTCACCTTCCCCAACCACACTGCGCACC